TTCATGCCAAGCGTTTCGCAGTCTATTTTCTAATGACCTTCATCTAGACTCTCGCAGCTTTTTACCAACCAATACTGCGCCTTAAATAAGTCCACGTACCATACCATTTAGGGCACTTTGGGGCTAATTTAACAATGTGAATCTGAATAAATGGAGACGAATAACAGGCTTCACACCCATGGATTTGTAATTTAACTGATCACCATAGCTTCTATAGATGGAAAAAGGCTAGTGTTCGGTGTGTCACGAACAATATGAGACGAATTTTAAAAGGGACTATATTTCCAAATTTTGTCAAGTTGTTTTAAAAACAGAGTTCGAGATATGTCTCATAAATGAAATGGACAGTTGGTCGTATGAGGGAAACCTTTTTCTGAGTGTTAACATGAGAAACTCCGATTGCGGGGCGCTTAATTCCGGCATTGCGTTCTTGAAATGTGATTTTTGATTTACATTGAATTATATTATAATTATNGATGTTTATCGGAGATTGCTGTATGCATCCTGGAACCACACTTTTCCACTCTTCTTCTTTCCCTTTAAGGAGCCCCTCGGCAGGAGGCCATTCACTGGTCCATTATTGTGTTTTTGGTCGTGATAGGAGAAATAGATATCAGGTGTCAGTTCTTTATGCTTAATGGCGTGCCTCCCACCCGATTTTTTCTGGGAAACGTTATAAGCAACGAGACTCTTGTAACCTCGACCGACGCTTGTGTTGGAATTAGAGGTAGACTTCCCTCCTCGCCGGCCGTAAACGATGTCCCTCGTGCGTTGAAACAGATTGAAATTGTACTGTGGTCCTGATAGAAATATACTGTAAGGATCCCGTAAGATGTTGGAAAACGGCGCACTTACGGTCCTCTCAGTCCAAACAAACAGAAGTCCCAGAAAAAGAACATATTTTGGGAGAAGAACCATCGTCCAACACAGCTCTGCTTTCTTGCAGCACTACACGTGTTTACTGTGACCTTCCCCGTCTCAAACGCGCCTGTTTGTTTCCATGACAAAGGACAATTGTGAAACCAATGAGGAAATAAACCGGCCAAACAACACTTTACACGAGCGAACACTTCCTTGCGATCCGAGCCCCCTGATAACAACGTATACATATATGACCACGCATGCTAAATACAGTTCGCGTGACAAAAAGGGCAAGATTAAATTCTTACTAAGTGCCGGTCAAATTATAAGGCAGTTATAATGTATAAGGCAATACGCCTTCATCGTGCTTAGAAGGAAATAACTGTATATGTGTCCATAGAGCGTGACACTTTTTACACCTTACTCCGGTCAATATTCTTATTACAACTACCAGAGATATTCATGTAGCCACAATAAGTATGTGTAACGCATGAGAATCGTGCCTGATATCCCTGCAGTTTCATGACAGTATGGGGAAATCACGACAGGTCTTAAATCATGAATGGATTCATAAATGGCAAAAATAACATCTTATTAACGTTATCTTTTTAATTAGACCGTTGGTCCATCTTTAAAGATACTGTTAATGGGTTACTGTTGTTGGAATTATATTCATTACCCCTCTAGCAAGTGTGCATTTGTTAAACAGGATGGCAGTTAACAATATTTATTTGAAAACCTAAATAAGTTGTGTTGATATAGACTAATAAATAACATAAGCAAATAAAGTGAAAGTTACAGAGGAAATTTATAAATGGGAAGATAGTTTGACAAACAGGTGTACTTATAACACAAATTAGAATTATATTTAAGATAAGTTAGCATTAGTACATGTAAACAGGGTGAAATATACACGAAGACCTGGGGGTACTGGTACATGTACTAGGGGGGTGAACCCCCACGAACAAGGTATGTTGAGTAGATTGATAATTCTAGTATTTTGTCTCATTTAAACACAGTGCACTTAAAATGATATGTGCACCGAGTAACTACACACATTGGCTTTCTACGTCCCAAATGCGCCCATAAAATATAGCAAACGTCCAGGACTTACTTCTATTCCGAATTGGTGAGCCTTTCAAAGTTCACTAACATCGGGGCATAAGTAACTTAGCTCACATATATACGGTGTGAAACGTATTACATACACAAGGAAATAAAAGGGAATACGTTAAAACAAAATCGGCGGTAAATTAAGTTCTGTTGGCTGTATTAAAAGATGCATATTAGGCTAGTGTTTATATCGAGTTATTCGCTAAAAGCCACCATTAATTTTCAAATAGTTTTGCTTAAAACAGCAGTTTCTTTACATTATTGCCTGGAATACTGTATATGATTTTTGCTGTATATGATTTTTGCATTTTGTTTTACTTTCTGTGCTTCACGGACTGGAAGGGAAATCAGTAGGTCAGATTTGAAAAGGGGCTAATTTAATTTCTTTCTTTTTTTTATTGCCCGAGAGATAAATTTCGAGGTTCTTTTGGCAGGGTTTATTTTGGTGTAACAAAAAAGCAACTCGATGAGTACATTATAATAATAAGTAGATAAATGAATCAATAGATTAATTAAGAAAAAACATGTACAGTGTATTAGGAGTCCTATTAATCAGAGGTGCGTTTTAGGGTGACTTTAAGAGAACGCTTCAAACAGTGAAAATAATTCCATAAGCTTTCTTCTGTAAATGCAGTCTTGTTCACACACACACACACACACACACACACACACACACACACACACACAATACTCCTAACATTTCATGCCAAGCAGTCTATTGTATATTATCTTATCATCTAAAACCATGAAATTATATGAAAATTGATTCTGACGCGTGCTGTTAGCCTTGCATATGGCAGTTTTGATACAAAATTCCTTTTTCGCTATTAAAAACTCATGGGTATGAGGATTTTTGAATAAAAAGGTCAAACAATGAAATACATTCTTTCTTTTATAAATGCAATCTTGTTCCCACGCGCATCCTCCAAAGAAAATATCCCTAACATTTCATGCCAAGCGTTTCGCAGTCTATTTTCTAATGACCTTCATCTAGACTCTCGCAGCTTTTTACCAACCAATACTGCGCCTTAAATAAGTCCACGTACCATACCATTTAGGGCACTTTGGGGCTAATTTAACAGTGTGAATCTGAATAAATGGAGACGAATAACAGGCTTCACACCCATGGATTTGTAATTTAACTGATCACCATAGCTTCTATAGATGGAAAAAGGCTAGTGTTCGGTGTGTCACGAACAATATGAGACGAATTTTAAAAGGGACTATATTTCCAAATTTTGTCAAGTTGTTTTAAAAACAGAGTTCGAGATATGTCTCATAAATGAAATGGACAGTTGGTCGTATGAGAGAAACCTTTTTCTGAGTGTTAACATGAGAAACTCCGATTGCGGGGCGCTTAATTCCGGCATTGCGTTCTTGAAATGTGATTTTTGAATTACATTGAATTATATTATAATTATATATATATATATATATATATATATATATATATATATATATATATATATATTATAGAGACATTCTGAACTATCACGTCAACTCATTTCTGTGACACAGATTATGTTGATATATTAGATGTTTTATAACCAAATATTCTGGCGGCTTTGTTTCTTCTCTTTCTCTCTTTTCTTTCTTTTTTTCGCGCGATTACTTATTAAAACTACCCTCTACCAGGGTGGCAGATATTATAGACAAATTTCAAAAAGCAGAGAATCAAATGACTGTCTATCTATCTAAAGACATATCTGTGAATATCTTGTGAAAAATCAGTCTGTCGGTAGAGGGTACACTGAAACCCTGTTTTTATAATTCACCAACCAAATACGCCATAGAGTGTCTACAATTATGATTAACCAAACAAAACACGAAATTTATAAATACAACATAAAATAGATTTATTCATTTGTTGTACACCGATGGTGTCATTTTGTTTTGCACATTAAAGCTGTAAGTGTTGATTATTTTGGATATGTTGGACAAACTTCTGCCAGTTATACATTGAGAATGGAGGTGTCATCACTTTGATAGTCATCGGGAAGTGCTCCAGTCCTTTTCAATTTTAAATATTTGGCTTATTAAATGATTTTGAAAATAAATAATCAACTTAATGTCTTTGACAACAATGCGTCTATATACACAATGTGTTCTGATTTCCGATGGAATGTCGAAAAAGCGTCACGCCGTCGTCGTTTCCGGTGGTCTCAGCCCTCTTCTCTTCCCTTCTTTCTTCTCTCCATCTCTCCCTCTCCTTTCTTCTGAGCACGTCGACCCCAGCACGAAAACGGTGATCCCAAAGAATAACCCCTGAAATACAATGAAAAATTAATGTCATTATAGGCGAATTAATAACTCTTGAATTTCATAAGAGGGGGGTTGACTGTACATGACCTTGTCCACTTGTCAAGTTATAAGGAAACATGAAACTTGCATACACTACTGAGGGTCATTAGCATATCGGAGGGTCATTAGCATATTCTAATCATATAGTCAGCATTTGATAAGACTTCGACGTGCACTACGTACCATGCAATGCATTGAAATAAATTCCATCTCTATATCTTTTAGACATATAATTTAAGAGTCCCTAATGTATGTGGATTTATCTCGTCACTGGACGATGACCAAGTCGTTTAATTTGCAGAATGAGGAAGTCGACTCGATGCACGAGAATCAACTTATGAATATTAATAATTTGACCTTGGGTTAGGCCGAGAGATAAAATATAATTGATGCAGTACTTTATATTTACGGTACTTAATACATTATCCATGGGTTCCAATATACATTAGAAAAAAATGTTTTTCCACTGCATTCATATAGAAGTCAACCGAGTAATGAGTATTTAGAAAAACAGTTCAAATATGATCTACTTTAAATAAATGTTCAACCACAATATGCAATTAATTTTCTCTTTTCGAATAGAAAGATCTAATAAACTATGCTGCTACTCTTTTTTATGACAACAGTATGAGGCTGGTTCCTTGTGTTCTGAATATTTAGAGAAAAAGTTGACTTTGCAGATGACCTATTAATATCTGCAGTTACTTTGACTCGTCCGATTGGACCTTTATATAGCGACGTAATCTCGAGTCACAATTATCTGCCATTTTCTTGCAAAAGCCAAATATGTGAGATTCATAGGATTTGCCAAAAAATAAAACGAATAAAAAAACAAATGAAAAAGAACGAAGAATAAATATGAGTCGTTTGTCAAAATGTACAAGAAATAAATGAATGAGGTCAAAACACAATAACTACAAATGTAAATGAAACAAAATACACACAATTTCTGATATCTAAAATTATTTTCAGCTCACCTTAATGATATCCCTTGTAGTAGTTTCTTGGTTTCTTGCTGTTATAGCCAAGAGTAGCACCGTAATATTTGGCGGTTGGAGCTTGGTAACTTGGGTAGCCAGTGCCATAGCTGGGACCGTAGCCATAGCTGGGACCGTAGCCAGCGCCGTACATGTTGCCGCCAAAACCGAGGCCATATGGCATGTTGTAGCCAGAATAAGGCCCGTTGTTGCCGTAGCCGCCGTAACCGCCGTAACCGCCGTAGCCGCCGTAGCCGTACGGGCTGCCGTAACCGTATGGTCCAAAAGCTGTCACCACGGTCAGTGAAACCAGTGCGACCAGGAGGATGGACTTCACGTTTGCTGCCATTGCTGTGTTTTGAGTGGAATGAGCGGTGTTCCTTGACTAGGCTTGAGCAGTGGACAGTGCTGGACAATGCTGCTGAGGGAGAGGGAGCTGGCGTTTTATACTCCTTGCGGCTTCTTCATTATGCCCCCCTGAGCGCTAACCGGTCATTTTCAGCCTCTGGACACTCCTACGGATAAGAAATATGGAAATGTCTAATTTACATAGTATACTTGTCAGGGAGCTGACCGCCAATTAAGGCGGTAAAGAGCGTTTTATTGAAGAACAATGTATCATTAAGCGTGGTCACGCCTTATTAACTAAGGTCCCTGGTCTTAGAGTGGGTGCTCACCCGCGGTCACCTTTACCCCTGTGGGCAGTCGCCATATTTCCTGGTGTGGGACTTAACAATGACCGATACAAAGAAAATTAAAATGAAGAACAGAGCGGTATCAAGACAATTAGTTATAATACAGGTCTAACAATTTCAGCTGCATGTGTGAAGACAGAATGCGACAGAATATGGTGTATAATATTGAGTAATGACATCGACCGACTTTGTCAAAATGAAAAAATAAGCTTAAGAAACAGTTACTGATTAATAGGCAATAAAGAAAAAAATATCAAAATACCTCTCTTTCACGATTTTAGTGGACCGGCCATGCAGCACGATTTACTTTATTTTAATGTGATATCCAAGGTAAATAAACGTAACAAAAGCAAAAAATAAATTCAATTTCCCTCCCATCTCAGATAAAGTGTTTATTGTTTTCAAACAATATTTTTCTCAGGACTGTAACTAAGACACGTATTTTTTTTTCAGTTTTTAGCAAAGATCCACTGACATATCCCCAGCTGTCAGTGATTGATGTGAGTTTCATTCTTTGTTTAATTTGCTAAGAACGCTTACAAGATACCAATATTAAATACGGCACTAAAAACTAACAAAATAAAATCAAAAGTCACTGGATGGACCAAAGCACCCATGTTTAAAAAAATTCATGCACTGTCAAAACATTAAAAATAGATATGGATTTGAAAATTGATTTAATTGTGGTTCTTCAAGTTTAGAAAGCTTAAAGATTTTAGTAGAATATTTTTGGGTTTAATTTTCTATCAGAATCAAGGCCCAGAAAGGAAAAGTCTCGTGCTGTTTAAAATTGCAGATGAGATCGACAAAATCTTACTTAGAGTAAGATAATCTTGGGAAACATGCCTCTTTCTGTGGCATGTTAATAATTTTGGGATCTAAATTTCCATCAAAATCTAGATCCAGAGGGGTAGAAGTCTCGTGCTTTTTTTTAATTGCAGCAGAGATCGACGAAATCTTACTTAGAGTAAGATAATCTTGGGAAACATGCCACTTTCTGTGACATATTAATAAAATATGAGACCTTGTTAAATTTAAATGTCATGAATTAGAGAATCTTATTCAAAGAATGCAAATTAATTCAAAGATTCACGTACTGTTTATCTGTCTATATCTTCACTTGCCATCGTAGGATGTGAATTCGGGAACCGCAAAAGTATCTCGTGAGAACACTTCTGTTCCTAATTAAATGCGTATCTTAGAATAATTAGAATCTCTTCACGTACAGGTTGGCTGAACTTTAATGACTATCAAGGATTCATCTGTCATAATTCTTATTAGTCACGCTGTATCCCTTACTTGCCAGGTACCTAGTTAATTCTGACGGCGCGCAACTCTAGAACGCAACCATTGTGATGCTTGCAGTTATTTTTACCGTGTTTGTGAAAATGCAAATGCTATATACTCTTAATACAGCATTATACATTCCGTAGTAACAGCACAATTGACGGTAGAGCTTCGCAGGATGTTAATGTTCTGGTTAGTTATCAGATGGCAAGAGGTGGGCGTCTGGACGAAGACACGTTAACATGCACGGTATTTCCCCCACAGGTTGACAATTACATGTATAATGGCAGGTCACGCGGGATAAAGAAAGGTTCTCAGGTCAGAAAAAATACTGCTTGACCTTGGTATAAGGTTTGATAAGATTTCTTATTCCATCTAGTGCCAATGAAATAAAATGAAAACGCAATTAATCTATCGTTCTTATAAGGCTTAGTACGCGTAAGCTGTGCAGGATAAAGGTGTAAATAAGATATCTATAGTGTCACGGCGTGTTGTGCACTTTTTCTACTCTCTGAACACAGGGTGCGCTAGTTATCCGTAACAAAATTTTTGTTTTACTTATACTTAAAATTGGTATACTATTTTAGAAGCCTCTGATATCAGGAAGTAATATTCTTGTCCTCGAATGACAGATTTTCTTTTGAAATAATGGCTTAGTCGGACAGAGTTTGTTTTGTTCTTATGTAACAACATCCAGGCCACGATTTATCTTTATTGTTAGCTTGTAGCACTCCAATATTACTACTGATGAAAAAATAATAATAATAAACGTTAGATTCGTGGAATGGACCGTGAAAAGGGCTATTTTGGATTTCAATCGTGATTTTGTTCATGTGTAGCCTGTTTTTTTAAGTCCCAAGCTGAAGGAAATGATTTTTCTTTAATTATATATATATGTCTTCCAGTATTTGTTTTTTTCTTAGTTTGCAGCTAAAAAAAGTGCTGATAGGGAAATAAGGCCTATAAATGGTCATGGTTGACAGAAACTTAGGATCACACAAGACCGTGATTAAGACCTGGTAGTCACACAAAAAGGGTTGATTACAATTCTCAGTATTGTTTGTCACTCGTCATATAACTTTAAAATCGTGTTACGTGAATATTTAACCATAAGCATTTTACTTGTGTGGGCATGTAAACCTGACGAAATATAGTTTAAGCCATTTTACGGCTGTGGAAACAGAGACAGGCTTTTTTCAAATTTAATTCGGAATTTGTGCTGTCGACAAACTTGTCTGAATATTTCAATGATATCATGAACATAGCGTGCTCCGTAATTCTAGTGAAAAAACCAAGACAATATTTTTAGAATAAATACACACAGTGTTTTATTGAGTATCAGTATGGAAAGATATACATTATGACAGATAACGTTAAAACATACAATATCATGGCTTTGGTCAGTACATTCTTTTTAAAAAAATTCTAAAGTAAGTTTTAAACTTGGACAAACTTATATTTTCAGGTGTACATGTACATATTGAGATTTTAGAATTATATACATGGTGATATAAGTTTTAAATGCCCCCATTAGCTTACATGTGTGACGAATTCTTTCAGAAAAAAACTTTTTAACACAAACAGTTAAAAGCGGATGGTTGTTAATGTTATGATAGATGATGCATGCAAACAGTGGGAAGCCATACGGACGTCCTAGCGAAATAACTTTGGAATGGAACGTAACCGGGGATTTCCTTCACCTCTCAATCATTGTCAGACCTGAAACGAATAATGATAATGATTAATATAATAACACTTTTTGATATGATGACAATGATGATTTTATTTGCCAATTAAGCGTATTCGAACGACTCGTCTAAGCCCACTTATATATCAACACAGTCATAGGTATACTGTAAGCTGTACTAGAATGATCACAAATCATATCAACTATGTATGAAGTTAGAGAGGAATAGAATTCAGAAAGGCTTGTACGTTTTAAGAACAATCAAATTAAAAACAAAAATCAAATTATGACCATAAAAGTTTTTTTATAGATATAATGATGTTAGTGAAGAAGATAAAGATGTCATGTATTTGTATCATCATTTTCAGAAGTCTACACATCGTACGCTAGGAGGGGGTGGGGGTGGGGTGGGGTTAATGCCCTCTGTACGCTTTTGGAAAAATAATAAAAAAATGATCCAAATTGATGTCAAAGGTCATCTTTGAGCTTATCACCTTTGGGTGACCCCCTCTGTGGGGGGGGGGGGTGACTGGAAAATAATCTACTCTTTGTAGACTGGAGGAAATAATGATAAAATGGATGACGCCTAACTGAGCATTCACCAAGCTTCCATCATTATTATAAAAACTCACCAGTTTAACCATAGAAGTAACCTGGGCCGCCGTATCCGCCAAAATTGCCTTGGTAACCACCGTAGTTTCCATAGCCAGTTGAAGCGCCTGATGAAAAAAAAGCGCCGTGGTTATCAAGGAGAAAACAAAAGTACATTAAAGTTGGAATTATAATCAACGCAGCATTTTTTAAGGATCTTCTAAGAAAAACAATTAAGATACACAAACAATGGATGTACGTGAATCGTACTTCTAAGAAATAATAGCGTTATGTCATCATCAGAATGCTTATCTCAGTGTGTAAATAAGCACGTAATAGATAATCTGTCAACGTGTTCATATTTCGTTTGATGTCTAGAGGGATATCAAGAGGCCAATTGTCGACTTGCTTTTGCAAAAAAAAAAAAAAAAAAAAAACTGTCATTTCAAAAGGTACCTGGGTATCCGAAGCCGGAGTACTGCGAGCTTCCTCCGTACGCATTAGATCCATAGCCGTACTGTGGCGCGCCATAGTTGCCATAGTAACCGGCCCCGGTACCGTAGCTACCAAAGTTACCGCCGAAGTTACCATAGTTACCATACCCTGTGCCGTAATTACTTCCTGTGAAAATAATACAAAATATATACGTATTGGTAACTCCAAAGGATACGAGAACCAGAACTGCCTGTAAACAAAATCTGTACCTATGACTTTTATCTAATCTAGAAAATGTATCACGTTTATGTATGTATTTCATAACCAGTTACAAACTATTTTCTTTTTTTTTTTTTTTTTTTGAAAAAATAACGATATAACTATATTTTCATTGAGTTCGTGTTTTCATGCCCCACTCATCAGCTGTGTTCGTGCTTGCTTTCATATCTGCGTGCGTGCGTACGTGATTGCGCGCGCGAGTGTGCGTGTGTATGTGTGTGCATGCACCCGCGTGTCTCACGGCCAGACACTCACCATAGTACGGTCCCCCGGGGCCGTAGAGTCTTCCCTGGTCCGGGCTGTCCTCTACATAGTACCCTCTCCCTGCCTGATTCCTGGGGATATAGGAACGGTACTGGTAATAGTTCTGTCCTATCACGGCAAAACACTGCGGCAAGCAGAGACCCAGAAGGCAGAGTATCACAGCTGTGGTAGTGGACATGTTGACCCAGTAGTGACAGCAGGTTAAATGAGAATAGGTACGACTTTGGCAATCACGACGCCTTTGGAACGAAAACTTTGCCTAACACCTAAGAGCTCGTCTCGCCTCTCAGTCACTATTACCATACCTTTCCCCTTATCTGAACTCCCAGACAGCATGGCGTGTTAGAAATACCGCAACCTTTAATTTGAATATGATTTGAAAGCAATTGCTTGCATTAGTGTTATCAGTTTTAATCTGTGTAAGGATCAGGCTAATTGCAGCGTATTCCCTGTATTTTGTGAAAATCTGGCCAGATTTCTAATTCAAGGGTATGTTTGCCTACACGGAAATATGAAAACAAAGATAAAAATTATACAGATTATAATTCAACTACGTTGAAACTGTTATGAAAATAGGCTAAATTTGGACAAGAAACAGTTACGCGCATATTATTTTTTCTTTGAATAATAATCCATACATATACTTAATGTAGTAAAGCCTCAACGGTCGTAATTAGTTCTTCATTTGTGCACTTTATACATTAGTTAAGATAAAAGTTCATTTGGAGGGCAAGGTTGAATATGGGTGGAACATAATCGTTTCTCTTTGGATTATGAATAAATGAACAGCGTAATGCATGGAACAGTTACTTATGACAGTAAGGGAGACGTACTCCTGAGAAAAACTCTCGTTATGTCATCAACAAAATGTTTATTTCAATATGTATATGAAAGCTTTAGAATAACCTGAAGACGTATTCATATTTTGTCGAAGAGATTTTAATTAAAATGACGTAAACTTTCACAAGGTATCAAGTACAAATGTAAGTTTTGATCCCACAAGAGGATACATAGCCGCTAAATAAATGGTATTTTTCATTTTTCCCTTTTTAAATGAATACAGTATTCAGGATAAATTACTCACACTGTATGTCGTTTTTCATTTTTTACATTACACATATAATTGTGCCTCTGAAAATAATTTTAAGGAATATATAAATCAAATAACATCTTTCTTTTCAAGTTGTAAGAGAATATAAATGACATTGGCAGGCATCGGCTGGCTTAGAAAAAGATGCAAACCGGATGTTAACCAGAGTGCAAAAGTGTCCACACACCAATATTTACCTTCTGCATTGAATCAAAATAAATTGGTCGGTCTCACGGCTCAACACATGAAATGGCATTTGTGAAAAAAAACTGCAGAAACAAAATGGTCGTTAGTTGGAGATAAACGAAGTGAGTGACTTTAGAAGTAGAACATTTTAAGCATTGCTTCGTGTTTGTCCACTCAGATACCATTTTCCTTACGTTTACCCATCACATTAAAATGCACATTACGCTAACTACCCCTTTATTGTTTATCATTTAAGAAAAGTCTCGAAAAGTTTGATACCATACGCATTTGCGAACTTCCAGAGGTGGAAAAATCGCTAATGCATCTGTGCAGTAACGGTAGCTGGTGTACCTCATATTGTGTTAGATGAGAAATTTGGGGTTGGATTCGCACAATCGTGAATGCTGTAGTCGCTTTCTATGGTTACTTTAACCATGGAAGCTTTATTCCATAGTTTAAGCAAGGAGTTGTGTGACCCCTTGGTTTAACTTATCAGTTCCTACATTCGACTTAACTTGAGAGGCTGCTATGGGAAATATCATTTTAGAAGGTAAAAATAAATGACTTTGTGGGCTATGTGAGAGAGGGTACACATGTAGGTCGCTGTGTGGAAGGAGTGCTACATGTAGATGGGAGTGTTTCGGTGTGTGTGTTTTAGTGAGTGAGTGTGCGTGCGTGCGTGCGTGTGTGTGTGTGCGTGTGTGCGTGTGTGTGTGTGTGTGTGAGAGAGAGAG